CTTGTAAAATCTTGTAAATGGAAAACGCGACTAACCCCACGTGTCATTGGGAAGCGCATGAAATGGCAATGTTTAGATCAACTGCGCGCATGTGTGATTTCATAGCCAATCATAGCCAATCAGTGTCCCAGAAGTTGAGGTGGCTAGGGTCCCCAAACGTTGAGGAACGGTGCCGTTGGGTTCACCGAGCAGCTACCCACATGCCACATGGATATAGTACCAGTTTGCCACATCGAAAGATCAACAAGCGCTGTCAGGGTGAGCCATTGGGGCTTTTGGGGGAGCCACTTTGCTCACCAAGAGACTGATGACATCGGTCAATTCTTGATCCTCTGCTCGGTTAAGTAGCTGAAGTGCCTCACGGTAATCTGAACATTGAATCTGTGTGGTCTTCAGGACATAGACACAAAAGTCCAGAGGATGAATGATAGACATGAACGGGGATCTTTACCTTGCTAAAGTTTGTTTGAATCCCAATACCCTCCACTTTTTTTGGAAGCCTTTGAAAGCAACCGACAAAGCAACCGACACATGAAACATGCTTCTTTGAACCAATTGGACAGACCCACATACTCAGCTATCCTTGATCTTCAGAACAGGAGACATTTCTCACCATGGAACGTTTGTCCCTGGCATTGACACATGCTCGCATCTTCAGCAACTGCTGGTGTGTCAATTCTTCATCCGCTGAGCGTTGCGCTTGTTAAGAAAATGCCCTGTTCATTGTCCACCCTTCCTATGCTACACCCTGTGAAATGAGAGAGAAAGCTTCGAATCCACAAACCGAATGCTCACCCATGGCTTGCAAAATGAAACCAGAATAGCTCGACCATGCTGCTTAACCCCTCCACCAATCCTGTCTCCAGAATGAAGGGCACATGGCCAGACTAGCTGCATCTTCCGTCCGCTGATCTATCTGGGTGTGCCTCATTGGACTGGGCAACCCAAGTGACCCTTTCATTGATGTGGGGAATGTTGTGTACATCTCAATGTGAACCAATTGAAGGAAGACCCGAACCATTTGGCTGCGTCGTAGGAGAGAGGCAACCCAAGGATCCATGGGAAAAAGAAACGAGAAGCCATTGGTTGAGGATTCTTCTTCTTCCAATCCACTCACATTTGAGTAAAACATGGTAAAGCAGTCATCTATTCAATCTATATATTCTTTGCTTCTTGTCACCAACCTTCATTGAGCTGCATCCCGGACCTGCTGCCATTCACCACCCGCGCTGATGGCAGAATTGAGGCTGAACACATCCAGCTCCAGACCAAAGGAAAGCCTCGGGCAAACGGAAACGCTGCGTGGAGCGGGACAACGCGTGGATGTTTTTTCACACTCCTGAAAGGAGGGCTCCCAAATCTGAACACCCACAAGCGTTTTTTCTCTGCTTGGTGTATCATTAATGTAGAGTGACTTGTAGAGTGCTGATTCATAAAACCCCAGAAAGGGAGATGTAAAACCATTCTGGAAGGGGGTCGCAAGGTGTTTCTCAATAAAACAAGTCTACATTGTGCAGAATTCTTGGGGTCTCTTTTGGGGTCTCTTTTTTATGTTCGTGCCTCTCTGTCTCTTGTGCTCTGTCACTTCACCAGGGGTGCCGGTCACTTTCCTTAGACGTTGAAAGTTGAATACGAAAGGGGCCGATCTGGCATCAGTTGAGTGTCAAGGCTCCAGGTTTCTGACCATAACATTGCAATCACTTGGTATGACGAAGTCTGGCTTTCTTTTGATTGTCGTCCAGAAACCACATGCATGGTGACCTTGTTTGTGGCCGCATTGCGATGGGAGGCACATGTCCAGGCCAACATGCCTCGGCCATGAATCCTGGCCTCCATGTTGCAGTGGCTTGATCACAAGCGAACATGTCCTCATGTCCCTCACTCACCTCTATGTGGCCTCATGTCCTCAATGACCAAACTGTGGTGGAATCGCCCCAGACTAATCATAGGACATGAACATTAACATTATGTTTTGCTTTGATCGTATGGTCCCTGTGCAAATGTTGTTTCAACATTAAATTAGTTATATAACAGCTCAAGTGTCCGTGTTGACTTCTTGCAAGACGGCTCGAGTGTAGAGTTAATTGGCCTGAAGCATGAAGGTCTGGACAAATTCTTTTGCCTGAGTGCCTTTGTTTTACCAGTAGCCGTGAAGCCGCTTCGGTATGTTGATCCGGTTCCTTGCTCATGCTCTTATAAAGTATCCACTAATTTGCAGTGGGGGTTGACTGGCAATCTTGAACATCATGTTGATGCACTTGTTCCGCAGTCAAATGAACACCAAGTGCTTGTATGCTTGATGTAATTTATGTACGTATCTTTAGCTATGAATGAAATGACTGACTTGCGTTGTATATCCCAGCAAATTGAGACCTAATCTGCCTGCAAATTCACAGACGCTGTCCTGCACAGCGCTCTCTCTCTCTCTCACTCTCGTTCATGCTGTGTTGTGCCTTCCGTGTACCGCTACGTGTACATCCTCCAATTCCCCTTTGCATCATTATCATCTCCAGGAGAGAGAAGGACGGGACCACAAACCGATGCCAGTCGACCATGATGGGTACACCCGATCCATGCCCAGCCCATGGGAAAGCTGACCATGGCTCCTATACATTCTCCTGCTTCACTGCGTTTCTGTGATCCAAGTGGCAATCTGCAGGCCATCGACCATCGTCGCCCCTTCTCGCATGCACTGATGGCAGAGTTGAGGATGATCAAATTCCTTGGACAAGCGATGACTACCAGGGCTACACCAGGTGAGTGGTGAACAGGGTCTTTCCACTTCCTCCAGTTTAATCTACCATGTCCAAAAAGAGCAACATGCAACCCTCCTACAATCCGACTATCATGGAAGCCGAACACCCACTTTGTGTAGATGAGAGTCGTCTTTCTGGGGCCCATGTTCCAGGCACCTAAGTGGGAGGGTGACTTCAGGGCCCACTTCGGACACCCTTTCTCATGTGTGGAAACCCATCAGGATAAGTTGGTGATTAACGTTGCGCAACACCTGCACCTCGAGCTTTACAACCAACGCTACGAAAAAGTTCCTGCCTGGGCCATTTTGTGTGAACGCGTAGTCCTCATTCATGCGGCCAAACTCAAACAAACTGTCCACGATTGTTCATGGGGCGAGAGAGCAAGTCCACGACATCCATGTGCCCATTCTGCATCGCGTCACTCATAGCGGTCGCCCGATCTTCGTCTGCCGCATCCTTGTCAGCTCCAGCTTCAAGCAACAACCGCACAAGGCTCAAGTGACCATTCGAAGCTGCCATGAACAAAGCCGGTGCCCCATCTGCCCGAGCCACATCTTTGTCAGCTCCAGCTTTGAGCAATGATTGAGCAACATCAGAGTAGCCATTCTCAGCTGCATGCAACAATGCCCTTGCCCCATGAACTGTCTGCACTGCATCTTTGTCAGCTCCAGCTTCCAGCAGCAACTGCACAATGTTCAAGCGGCCTCCTTGAGCTGCATAAAGCAAAGCCGTTGCCCCATCTGCCTGGACCACATCTTTCTCAGCTCCAGCTTCGAGCAGCAGTCGCACTATTTCCACATGTCCTCTGCCAGCAGCAGCATGAATTGGTGCATTGTTAGTATTTGCAAATCTGCCGTTAGGATTCAGGGGTTATTGAAGCAGCTTTTCAACTTCTCCCAAGTGACCATGTTCACATGCTCGATATAATCTCCTATCCATTTCTTCATCAGGTTCGCAATGTCCCACAATAAACAAGTTCGCTCTCGATAGTGGTCTTACAGGCATGTCATCCGGCAACTCGTCAGATCGATCGCACAGCCTTTGCTGGAACCTTGAGTATCCAACCTGACCTGCCAGGAATCGCTTCAACTCCCTGACAGTATCTCCACGTTCCACCATGCTACGGAACTCATCTTCATCAATGGCGACTGTTGCGCCAGAAGGACGAAAGATTTCCATATTTGAAGCTCAAATTCTAAAGCAAAGCATTCATAACATGCACATCAAAACGAAGAAACCAGCAGTCCATCCTTGATCCCTGAGTTTCTCCCAGGTTCTCCCCATGATCCCATCCTTGTTCTGCGTTCTGAACACTCCCAAGGGTCACTTGCAAACCTTCTCCCCGCATCTGCCGCACTTCCCCCAGCGCTCGCCACCATTGGGAGCTCCGTCCGAAGGACGCCACGGCCTCCGCTGGCAGTCGGGACACGCAAAGAACCGGAGGTGGGTGAAACGCTGCTGGAGTGTCAGACACTGTGATGAGTGTGTTTTTCCATTATCCCCTAATCCCTGAGCAAAAACAAATGAGTGAGGAGATATCTTCCAGTGACGGATGTTGCAAGACAATAACGTCTGGGTGAGGAGAGGGTATGGTAGCGGAAAAGGATTGAAGAGGCGAGGCTTCTTTTGGCATCAAAGTTTGAGGAGATCGGACTGAGTTAGACCTTTGGAGGTCAAACATACCTTGGAGGTGAAACGATCATCACATGGGGGAGCAGAGTCAAACACCGCTAGGAGTTGAATCAACCATGAAACAACACCTGGCTTGTTGCCACATCGGGCAATGGAAAGGCAATTTAATTTGACGTATCCCCTACAATTTTACCAACAATACATGGGGCGAAGGACATCCAGCACAAACAAAGAACAGGTTTCTAGATCCATCCTGTGAGGGTGATAGACTGGGGTCCCCTGGCTTGGATCCATGCCCATGGCTATATAAATTGAAATGAATTATATCATCATAATTGTCATAGTTCAAAAAACAAGCATAGATTCCGACCGCAGTCCCCGTGGTGCCTTGCCGTATGCCACGCATGCTGCCTCCATTTGGGCCCGCTCTGCGCCACGTTGAGCCAAAGGGCCATCCGGCAGCCAAATCAGCGCCTCTTGCTGGCTATAAGGCAGTTAAATGAGTCTTTGGGATCAGCCACAAACAGTCATCTACACACATCGTTTCGGCCATGTTCTCTGCACCCAACCATACCCCCGCGCCAGCAGTCTGTTTCCCGCCGTTTCTCGTGCCTCCTGCTGAGCCTTTCTTTTGAAGAAGGCCTCCTTGGCTTCACCGTAGGCCTCACAGGCTTCACGCTAGCCGGCGACAAGTGGCTGCTTCAAAGGGTTTCCCCTGACCAGGGAGCAGGAATCAAGATAGCTGTTTGAATAGCTGACATCTTGGGACTCCATCTTTTCAATTTTGACCTACAAACAGAATACCTTGTAAAATTATATGTGTGTGGCTTGTGTGTACCCATGTCATATGGAGAAGTGTGTGATGTGCGAGTGGATCTTAATCAGCGAAGTTTGAAGCTATCACTGACGGTCCATAAGCGGCGTAGCGTCGGAACGGAAACCGCACCTTTTCTAGTCGCTTGATCCTTGAGCCAAAGTACATATGGTACATATATATGTACGTGTCGCTGCACTTCCATTCGCACCCCCCCATGTGAACGGCAACAATATGTTCCGATCACACACGAAAATTTAGGGATGTAAGTGCTACAAAAGAAATTGTATGATTTGCCGCGAGACTCATATGAGGCTCATACTACGAAACATGCTGGACTAAAGCGGACTTTTACATATAAAGTGTGCAACTATGGCTCAGAACCTATGAAAATCGAATTGAACAAGTGAGACAGTCACGAGGCCTCGCTCAGTATCCACTCAAAAGAGCATCGCTTTGATGTAGATCCGAACTGGTGACTTCCACGTAGATGTCACATCGGCAACTGACTTCACACTTCTCAAAAGATGTAGGTTTTGGTTTGGATACACTTACAGAACGGCAAGTCGGAGAGACAGTCGGTGACTGTCTGCCTTCCATTATGCTCATGGTATCAAATCGTCAATCCGATGATTTGCAATGATACACTTACAGCGTTTCAGATCAGATAGACATCCGGTGAATGACTTCCTCCCTGGTTTGCATGGTATCCTCATAGTCGTTCAAAGAAATCACCACTGGCGATAACCTCTCCATCCACTATGATCCCAGCTGCCCTGAGCATCCCGCCGATCATCTTCTCCCTTCTTGGACTTTCCCTTGGACTTGCTCTTTCCCTTCCCCTTTTCAGAAGGTTGAGGTACTTCGCGACGTTCTTGCGTTAGCGCCGGTCTCCAAGATGTTCCAGATTGGCCTCCTCCTTTGGAATGTCCTCGGGATGATGAAGAAGTTGTACCTTCTGCTGCATGTGCGTTGGCGGCAAGATCTTCCTGCAAAGCTTGCTCAAACACACCGGTAGCACTGGATGGTGATTTATCATGTGGTCTGGCTTTTGGAGCAGCCTTCGCCTTGTTCTCATCTGCTGATGAGGGCCCGAAACTCTTAGGTGCTGTTGAAGGTTTTGGCTCCTCACTTGGTGCTGACGACGGCTTGGCCTCGGTTCTGGGTGTAGATGCTGGCTTTGCCTCAGCTCTTGACGAAGATGCTGCTTTCGCTTCAGACTTAGTCGTTGATGTTGACTTAGCTGTTGCCTTGGCTGCCTGCTTCTTCTTGCCCTGAATCTCCTTGGCCCTATCTCCAAAGCCTAGACGATCGGTAAGAGCTTGAACATGCTTCTGTTCTACCACGCTCATCCATCTCTCTGTATGTCCAATGTTGGGATTTCTGGCCATTGACTCTACGACATTCTGAGCGTGTGGGGGCAACCTGATCTCATGTTGATCAATGATCAGCAGAATAGACTTCTCCCATTTGCTCTTCATTCTCGAGTACATGATGTCCAGAGGATCGATCACCTTGTGGTTGGGTGATGTAACGTCGGTTCTAAAGTAAGAATATGTCCGACAACCATAAATCGCATGGATGCACTTCTGTACCAATTCAGTCATTGCGCTGGCTTTCTTCGCTTTCAACTCCTCAAGCTGGACGTCAGTCAAGTTGGTGGAGTATTCGAAGTTGCCATATTCCTTCTTGAAGGAGTACGGAGTATGACCAAATGATAGGATCACGAGTGCCACCTTGCAAATGAATTGCTCTCCTCTGAATCGGTGCCAGGCCTCCTCAATCGTAATCTTGTTTTCGTTAGCAAAGATTCTCATCATGTCATCTGTTGGATCCAATGGTCTCCCATCGTCATCGATTTCAGTGAAATCCTCTGTACCGAACTTACTTATCACATCCAGTCGCTTCCTTTTCCAATTTGCTTTGAAGTCGGTAAGGCTGGTGCAATAGTAGCTCTTGTACATCAGGGAGATCATGTTCAGCACACATTTGACCACATACCTATCCATCAAACCCGATGCATTCATGGAGACGTCCTGACAGTAGGCTCTCTCTTGATGCGCATAGATTCGAGGTTCCGGTACTCGACAATAGATGGGGAGATCTTCGTTGTCTCTTCCTTCTTCGGGATTGAACTCGGTCGCTCCATGCTGTGCATAGTATCCCGGTTCATCACGATCTGTCGGTCGATTCGCCTCCGGATGTAAGTCGTCGGTGACGTCTTCATCCTCGGGCTCACCATCTTGACGTTTCTTCCCCTCATATTGTTGTGTGCTCCTCTGGATCTCGATGATCACGTTTCGTTCGTCTTCATCTTCTAGATCAGAATCACGACCGTAGTCGATCTCGTCCTCATTGAAAGATGGGGTCTCGACATTGTCACTCTTGAAGTTTTCTGCACCATCAGACGGTTTGGAAGGATCTAGATTGTCCATGTCCTCGTCGTCGTCAGCTGCTTCAGTTTGAGCGATGTCTTCTTCCCAAGCCTTTCTGATCTCGTCCATAGTGGCCTGGTCCAATATATCTTGATCATCATCTTCAGGCTCCTTCTCTTCCTTCTTTTCCTCTTCATCGTCGCTCACGAGATCAACGGGTGAATCGGAAATGACAGTGTTGCGAATGCCACACGAGAGTAGCCTGCCTTGACAAGATAGACACACGGACAAAGATGAAGAAGTCAAATGCATACATGATGGACACAAAATATTGCCATCCACGTTGCGATACCCTTCACATGTTCTGGAGATGATTTCGTCCCAAGTTTCCTCACTGATGGAATCCTCGATCAGCTCTCCATTGTCATCGAATTGTACTTCATCGATAAGGGACACGAGCTTTTGGACGTTGTCATCTGTCGCCGAGGCTGACTTCGTGACTTCGTCGGCTCTCTCGAGGATGGTATGCTTCTGAGCAACCCAAAGTCCATGACATGCCGCTAGAACAACTTGCTCTCCAGTGCTTCCCAGCAGGAGTCTCCTCCATGCCTGAACGTAGTCGTCCCAATACCAAGCACCTCGTACACATCTCCATGGAACTTCTCTAAAAACAACAGTGTAGGAATTCTCCGAAATTCTTCCCCCAAGCTTCCTCAAAGTCATGATTGGAACATAAAGGCAAACGGGCATTCCCACTCTTGGCCATCTTGATCTCAGAATCTTTGATGATCGATCATCCCACGGCGCAAAGTGGTTGAAGAAAACACTACCTCTATATCCCTCCGTTCCACCAGGGACAATTCCTAGTTTCATGATTGACTCAATATTGGAAAGCGATGTCATGTGAAAGCTTCCTCCAAGCTGCATTGCCACATTCTCTGGAATGAGATGTGAAGTCCACACAGGATATATTGACACATCCTCTTCAAGAACAGTCTCTCTTCCAGAATTGTGAGAGGCAACAGCTCGAATTGCACAAGGAACGATCCAACGTTCATGCTTCAGAAATGACGGTGCATCTGTGCTGTAATACATGAGGTTTGCCCAGTATTGCCTTTCCTCTTCGAGTGAGACATCCTCCCTTGAGATACGAATGGCGGCAATCTGATAGCGTACTCTGTTCTGCAACTTCTTTGCATGCCACATCGCCTTGCATAAATCCTGGTATCGCTCTGTCTTGACATCTTGCTCACGTTGATCATCTGAGATAGTACTGATATCGACACCATCGTTGAAGACATGGTCATATTCCAGGATCTCATCGATGTTCACCCATCCACCCTCATTGCACTTCGGGGACACATGAGGTTTTCGACCGCGGTGCGATTGAATCCCATTATGCTTTCCCACTCCATGCCTGAGTAGTCTATTGAGTCTATGGCTAATCTCGTTGACCCTCTGACTCTCCTCGCTGAACTTGTCGATGCGAGTTGCTGGGTTCATCTTTGGTGGATCCGTGAAAGTTGCATCTCTCTTCGGTCCATTCCAGTACTCCACATAGAATGTAACTCCATACTGTGGAATGATCTCGATGCTTCCTCTATCGCAAGTCACCTCAATCTGCCGATATCCAACCTTTTGAACTTGTTGTGGGTCAGGAGCAAGGTCCTTCACTTTGGGCATCTTTATTCCGAGTGCTGCAGCCTCCTGAATAAGTGCATCAAGTTCCCACTTTCCATTAGGACCTGATCTATCAACCCTGTGATTTGCGACCCTGTACTCTCCTCCTTCTTTGTCATCGGCAATGTCAAAGAGGTCGACGGGCTCTTTGAATCTGGTGACGAAACTGGCGTTCCCAAAGGCCTTCTTGGTTGCCTCGACCGCTTTCGCGTATTCCTCTTTTGCAGAGTCTGACGATTGTGGTCTACCTTTGGCTCTCGGAGAGTGAGGTGGTACCTTACCTCCTAGTTCCGGCTCTTCTTCGGGAAGTTCAATATCTTCATCATCCACATCCATGTAGTCCTCGTCTTCGACGTCTTTGGATGACTTTGCTTTCCTCTTTCGGCTTTCAACATCACGTCGGATGATTGCCTTGTCGTCCTCGGTGAAGCACTTGCGCATAGTGTCCTCCATGTGAGAGAATGAGTTCATCAACTCGTCCTTCTTCTCAGTGTTGGGACAAATAGCCAGGTTATGTTGGTTTGAACCACAACAATAGCACACCTTTTGGCTCACTGCGCGTGCTCTGACCCTTCTGAGGTTGTCATAGGCGGTTTTCCAGTTGGAAGCGGTTGCTGTACCTTGCCCACTGCGCTTGGCAGCTCTTTTCCGTTCTTCAGTATCTGGATTCGATGTCGGGTAGTGCGACCATGTTTTCGTCGGGGATACTGAACGACCTTCCCCATCCTTGTAGTCTTGCGGATCAAGCTCAGGCGTAGGTGGTTCAGGCTCCTCGACTCCTGGAGTGGTACTCG